TTTATAATATGAAAAAAGATCTATTGATAGAATAAGAAAAAATTATTCAAAGAAAACCTGTATTTTCACGGTAAAAAAAAATTCATGCGATATGAAAAAGTATAGGTTACCCAAAACCCTACCACCCTGAGAAAAATCACTGTTAACATTTTGCCAAACATATACTCACACAAACATTTGTGCTTCTGTGCGTATGGTTTTTTTTATACATGAGTAGGAAATTCTATGCACGGTCTTCTATAACTTGCTTTCTATGCTCAAAAATATTCAGGCATTTTTTTTAAATGTCAATATATTTAGATCTACCTCTTTTCACAGGGTGCTTAAGATGGAGGTACCCTGTGTCCCCTGGTGGGCATTTGGGTTGCTTCCCTTGATAGCTTCTACATCTCTGCTTCCTGATTGACCACTCGTTGAACCCCTCCAGTGATGGGAAATTTGCTAATTCTTGAGCCCACACATTTGACCTCTAAACAACAGTGTCTGGGGACTTCTGCTCTCTAGAGCTGGAGAGCCTAGCTCTGTAATAAGCCAGAAAGCGCATTTTGAGTTAGTTGTAATCAACGAATTTGACTTAGTGCCTCAGTTTTGGGCCACTCCCACCCAGGCCTCTGAAGGCTTCCACCCATTTGAGGATGGAACAGCATTGAATTGACTACTGATCTGAAGTCATAGCTTTGGTCATAGCTCCTGCCTGTGGCGATATGCGTTTCAACAAGTTACTTGGGGATTTCCGAGACTGTGGGTGCTTCTCCCTGAACTAACTTCTCTATGGGAAGATGGCAGCCTCTGACTGAGCAGAAAAACCAGTTTGTGAAACACTTACCCAGGTAACCTATTCAAAAGGAGGTAGCTCTCCGTAACTTTTTAGGGCAGGTTCAGACAACGAGTCTGGCCATGTGCGATAGGATAAGTAAAATCCTTAGGAAGCAACGCTGATATACTAGACAGAGTATTCTGAAGTCTGTGGAGGGCTGATCACCCACAGACTGACTGATTTGACTCATTTTTTTCATCTTTCCCCATCTCCTTCTGACTGAGCCTTTAGTTAGGGTTGATTTTTGGATATTAGGTAGAAATTCACAGAAGTAGGGTTTCACCTCTCAATTGCAATTAAGTGAAAAAAAAATCAGCTGTCCTGAGTTGTTATAAAATCATTTCTCTTGCTTGCTTCATGAGGGATTATACAGCAGAGAAAGCCATCTTTTAAATTTTTTTAATTTTCATAGACTTGGGACTTCAGAGACCATTGTAAATCCCTTTATTTTAAAGACAAGCAGCAGCCCAGTAAGGTGAAGTGATTGCCCCAAATTCACAGAGATTGTTAGTGGCAAAGCCAGGGTTTAATCTCAAAGGCCTTGTCTCATTATGCATAATATTTTACTTCAGTACACTGCGCTCTTTCATGGACAAGTGATTGATGGACTGATTGATTTGTCTCGAGTGCTACTGGAGGATGGAAAACAGTTGGACCGGAAAATAGAAAGGGAAAGAAAAAAGAGTTTTAAAGAAGGCTGGAGGAAAAAAATCAGAAATTAAATAGCTTTATAGTATAAAGAAGGCAAAATATATTGTCCAAGGGCTCCATGGAAGACCAAGAAGTCAGGCCTGCCTGAGCTGGGCTAAGTATGCCAGTTATGACTGAACATAAGCCCAAGTGAGGTCCTGGAGATACCCCCCCCCCGCAGTGAATATTGTGGAGCTTCTCCCCCAAACCTCTCCCAGAGCAGGGGGCTGACACACCTATTCTCGAGCTGCTGGGAAGATTGGTTCCTGACCGCTCACAGCTGTGCCCATCACTGGGCGTTGCCCTGAGGGAACTGCTTTGCCCAACGTTACACCTCTTCCCAGGAATGCAGGATATGGAGACACAAAGGCCCAGCACCCAGGACTCAACTTGGTCCATTTTTGAAAAGCCATCCACCTCCGGTCCCCCCTGGACTTCAGGCCCAGTTGTTACTATGTTGATAGGCAGTGTCTTCCTCTGCCCTATCCTGCCAGCCTTGCTTGCTTTTTAAATCACTCACCAATAAGCCTTCTTCATGAGAGGTATGTTTCCAGGTAACTCAATCTAAGATATCACCCAAATTCACAGTTTGTATCATGCAGTGTCAGAATTGGGAAGAAAACCCGGGTTTCCTGCCCCATCACCCTGTTAACCTAAGCCACTCTCAACAGTAATACCTCTTCCTGTGGCTCAAGCTCTTATGTACACCTTGTCATGAAGCATCCTCCTGTAAGGCGGGCCTCCCAGGGTGAGGGATGCTGACCACCAGTGTGTTACACAGGATGACTTTGGCAGTATTTGGATGTGCTGGTTTTTACTTTAATAAGTATTGTCTTAGCTTGAAGTGCCCCAGAAACAGATCCTAAGATGAAAACTCGAGTGAAAAGGACCTATTAGCATCCAGGCCAGCATTGTTGTTGTGCAACCTGTAAAGTCACACACGGCCCCATACTCGGTTTAATATTCTGCGGTTGCCACCTTGAAGTTCCTCATAATTTATAAACATTTTTTAATCTTGCATCAGGCCCTGCAAATCACATAGTTGGTCCTGATTAGTACGTGTTCCTAGGAAGCACTGGTAGGGGAGTGGGACTTAGGACCCAGAGGGGTAAGAAGGACAAGCAAGCATGTGGTATCAGGTCCTGGAGATAATGGAGATCCACCATGAAGCTGTCCCAAGTGAGGGCAAAGGAACCAGAGTATTTATACCACCATGCTCCTTAGTCACTGGTGAAAGGCTGAGGCGGGGGTTGGGGAGCACCAGTTCCCAGGCACTTCCAGCTGTCCTGGGAGCAGGCAAAGTAAATGCTGCAGCTGAGGGTGGTGATCTGACAACAAAATGCTGGGGCCAGGTGCAGGTGGTGGGAATGAAAGCACACCTGGAGCCAGTGTGCACGAAACAGGCGAAGGGTCAGAGGGGAGATGGCGGAGCCCTGATAGCAATTGCTGGCATTTGGCATGTATTTAATGTGATCTAGATTAAGAGACTTGCTTATCAAAGTCATGATTTCACAGGTGAAATTACTAACAGCAAGCATAATATATGTAAGAAAAAGCAAAAGTTAGTTGATCAAAAATATAAATTTAAAAAGCACATAGGAGGTACAGTGATATGAAGATGAAACATGAATGACTGAAGTTTGGACATAGCAAAGCAGAAAGAGCACTGGACCAAGGGTCGTGGGTAAAAGCACAAAGTCTGGGGTCAGGCTCCCTGGATTGATTTCTAGCTCGGACACTTTTGGACAGCGTGGCTTAACATCTCTGTGCCTACCTGCTAGGGCTGTTAGGAGGATTAACAAAGATAATATATGTAAAGAAGCACTTAAAGCAACATCTGCCATGAAAGTGTTAGCACTTATTATTCTTGCCTTGCTCCTAACTAGATCAGTGCATCTCAAACTATCTGTGAGATTTTATTTTCAATCTGTTGCAGGCTGATGCTTTTATCCAACATGATAAATACAAAATGGATAATAAGAAAAATGAAATAAAAGAGACATACAAAATACAAGGTCATATTTTTAGTTATTAAATTCAGCAGGCAGAAAATTACTCAGTCAAATTGCTATATAAGTTTTTACATGCTCACCTTCAAGTTCTATGCTTATCCCATTACAGAAGGATGACAGTTCCCAGACGATCATTGTTCTATGGGCCACACTTTGAGTAGCGCTGAATTAGAAAAGCTTCAATAAGCCACTTAAATTCTTGGTGCATTAGTCTCCAGATGAGATTATGTACCTGAAGGCATTTACTAAACTATAAAGTGCTCCAGAAATGGACTTACTAGAGGGCTTTAAGAGTCAATTCTATAGTCTATGGCCAAAAGATACAAACTCCAGTGTGTGATGGTCTCAGTCCCAGTTGGCATCAGGCTGCTCTGTTTAGAGTGTGTCCTTGGAGCTGTCAGTGTCTGTGAATCAGTCAAGCATTTCCTACTTCTGTACAAAGCAGGGCATAAAGAGCTCCCCTGGCAGGCTGTGGCTTGTACCCCAGCAACCACCACCATCCATACACTGCAAGAACCATGGTCCTGGGGTAAGGCATCCAACCACAGACTTCCTCTAACTGGGCAGCATCCCTTCTGCAGCCTGGTCAAAAGACTTCACAGAGAGTGATACTTGAGCGGGGTCAGGAGGGAAGGAAGAGTGAAGATAATGTCCTCACTGCAATCCTTGACTCCTCGTTTCCCTAGGCCTCACTTCTTTTCCGTTGGTGAAACTCAACACAGAGACATCCTTCGCCAACCCTTTAAGACTTCATTTCAAGTATGGACTCTGTCCACGCTGGTTCTCAGTGACCTACTTTGGCTTCCTTGTCTCTGTTATCTCCACCACGTCAAACAAGAAAGGAGACACCTAGGAATATGCGGGAAGTCTACTGAGTGGTGAGATTTCTGCACATCTATCTTTTTGACTTTCTGGACTCTTCCTGGACTTTTTGGGAGTGAATCCCCTGTCTGATTTATCTTAGTGTTTCCCCAGTCACCTTTAGCACAATGCTTGGTGCATAGCAGGTGCTCAGTGAATGTCTGCTGAATGGGCTGTATGTGTGAATAGTTTGAAGTTTGTGGAAAAAGATGTGGCTTTTCACACTACCCGACGCTGAATCCATCTACAAAAGACTAACCAAATCTAATTAATTCTTTAAACAGAACTCTGCCAGGTACCGGGCATTCGGAAACACAGATCTCATGGCGGAGAGCTGGAGGGGAAGCTCATGATGGGTGGTCGTACTTCAAAGTCAACAACCCTTAGTTCTAGTTCCACTTCTCTGGGAAGCAAAATCTTTCTGTGGCCCCAGGGCCCTTTAAATTTTACTGTGACTGTTTTCTTAAGAAATTCCTGGAGCAAAGCCTAACTTTTGTGTCGGGGTTGGCAACGCGCATATTCTCGGCCTAAGGGACGGCTGGCATAAGGATTGGCGAGGCGTTACATGCGAAGGAAACTTCCAAGGAGGCAGAACAATCCCGTGGAGGGTCGAGAAGCGAGGGGCCCCAAAGCCCTTGAACTTGAGGGCTTCGGTGAATTCGGGGAAGGAAAACTGGGGATGGCCAAGGCAGCCAGACATTTGCGGGACTCAACGCTCCTGACCTCTCCCCTCTGCCCGCCCGCCCAAGACACGACGCGGGTTCGGCGGCCAAACCGGGATACAGCCAGGGCGTCTGGGCAGGAGGGAGGAGGGCCAGGCCGGGAGGAAGGAGTCCGGGGCCGCTGCCGCCCCGCCCGTCGGGCTGTCCGCCCCGCCTACCTCTAACGAGGCGGAGCCGGCGCCCGCCCGGAGGAGCCGGAGGAGGAGGAGAGGTCGGAGCCGTCTCCAGGAGCCCTTAGAGACAGAGTCCCCGGCAGCGGCGGTGGCGGCAGGGGAAGCGCACCGGCAGGCAAGTGAGCACCCAGCGGCGGGCGCAGGTGGCTAGTCTGTCCCCGAGGGGACAAGGGCGCAGCGCGGGGCGTCGACTGGCCAGTTCGGGGGCCGCCTCCGAGTTCCCGGTGCTGGGAAGCGAGATGGAGGGAGGGAACGGAGGAAGGAAGGAAGGAGGGAAGAGTGTCCCGGAGGGCGGGGACTGGTCGGGGCACTGGGCGCCGGAGACCGGGATGGGGGAGGGAGGGCAAAGGACGCCGAGACCCGGAGACTGACGGCGCGCTTGCCCTCGACGGCCAGCGGCCGGAGGGCGCGCGAAGCCTGGGGCCCTGCGGGGTCAGGGCAGGGGACGCTGCCCCCGGGACGAGGGCGGGAGGAGCGGTCTCCCGGCTCGCTGGCTTCTCTTCCTCGCCAGCCCGTGGCCGTGCGCCCCGCTCCGGGTTGGGGCTGGGAGTCTCCGGGGTTCCCAGCTCTTGCTTGCGGCGGTTCCAGGTTTGGGAGGAGGGCCGGCAGCTGGGGGCGACGGGGGCGCCACGCCCCTCTTCCCTACTTTCTTCCGCTCTTTCTGGTGACTCGGCGGCGGGTGCGCAGCCCTGGAACTCGCTCGGCGCTAGGGGTCTGGCGGGGAAATAGCGGGTCACGGAGAGGAGGACCCAGATCACACATCCCGCGAGGGTCCCCCGAGCAGTGAGTGGCCCGGAGACTATTTGCAGATGGCATGAGGAGGTCAAGACTCAGACGTGAGTCTTGCGTGATTTTTTAAAAAGTATTGCCTGGTCACTTACTGCGTGGATCAGAGTGACTTCCTTTAAAAACAAATTATCTTAACTAGGACGTATCAGTTAAAGCTAATTTAAAAAGGCTGTCCCTGAAGTCTCCTGACACTCACTTGTCCCTCGCCTTCTGTTTGTATCTTGTAAACTTGACTACTTAAACCATTCATAACTTTCGAAAAGGAACTCGTGATTCTCGCTAAATCCCTGCTGTGGAGTGAAACTTTTAGACAACTGGAAATCTGAGTGAAGGAACTGCTGAGGCCTGTCATCTTGTGGTCACCCCGGTCCGGCCGGGCGTGGTTGTATACAAACAAGTGCACAGAGAAGGAAATGGCCAAAAACTGGAGAGAAGGGAGGTCCCCTGCGCCCACGTGTCAGGGCACGTTTAATGGCTGCTCTGAGTGGAAACAAACCCGGAATGTATTAGACCCTGTGGAGTTGGACAAACTTCACATGATTAGCTTCCTTCCCATCAGTTGTTTCCTGTCCACACCGCCCCCTCTCCCCCTGCTGTCTTTGCGGACGCTGTTTATATTTCCTGGGGCTGTTGTAGCTTCGTCTGAATAGATTGCCTGTAAGGAGCCTTTTGGACGTTGTCGGAGGCAGGGACTGTGTCTGTGTGTTCTCTACTTTAAAAGCGGAGTTCGGCGTTGTTTTTAAAGTGCCAGTCACCATACTGCACCATTGCTGGTGCCTCTCAGCTCTCTGTAAATTATCACAGGATGGCGGCCCTCACCTAGGAGAACCAGGAAGGCAGGCAGCGCTAGAATGACGGGGTTTGGTTTAACTATTGCCAAAACAGTCACATCCAAGCAGGGAGCTGTTTTGCTTAAAAAAAGAAAAACCCAAAGTGTATGTGTTAGCAAGCTCTTGTTTCAATAAACACATATATGATTCACACACACATACAATTTCTTAAAGAAATCAAACGTTTTACAGAGACTTCAGTGGTAAAAGAACTTTGGGATCAAATGTTCAGCCCCTCTGCCTTCTCTAACAGTTAACTAGCACCATAAAACCCTGGTTTGAGTCCAAAAAATGCTGAGCAGTCTTACGACTGTTCCTTTAGGCCTTCTAAAAAACATGCAGTCGTGTTTTTACTGTTTTTAACCCAGGTAATTCAATGAGGTATTGAATCTGGACGCATTTAGATTTGTAGAGATACATAAAAATGTGGATTTGTGTTTCGCAAGAGACCAAAAAGATTAATACTATGAAGATTTTCTGTGTAGCAAACTCCAGTCCCATTGGAAAGACTAGCTCTCTAACAATGAGATTTGCGGTGTCCAGCTTATGTTGTCACTTGTTGAAGGATATGGGTGGTTTGTCAAGTTGCTGCATAGTCAAAACATTTGAAGAAATGTCCAGCTAATACCAAATTCTGGTTTTTTATGTTGAAAATTTCTCTCTGAAAGAAAAAAAATTCAAATTTAGAATTATGTTATTTATTGTGTTGGGTTTGTTGGATTTGTATTGGGTGGTTTTTGTTTTTGTTTTTTAAGTTTTATACGTCAGCTTAGACTTAATTTAGGGAGGCAAGTTGTGGAGGTCAGATACATTTTTCTGGGGCCTGATTTGGAAGAGAAGCAGCTTAACAGGTTTGCGGTAGGGGCTTTGGTGTTGGGTAGATGTGGATGGGAATATTAGTTATTTAACCATTTTCAGTCTGCTTTGTAAAATGAGGATGACAGTGGTCTCTGTCTTGGGTGTTTTATGAAAGTACATGGAACAATCTTTGGAAAACACTTTGCACCTAATACACAGATAATGTTCAAAATTGTTAGGTATTTTATCTACTGACTTTACCAGCGGGGTATCGGATAAATTACAAGATGGCAGTTTGAACCTTCTGGAAACACTAGGTGGAACAAATAAATCAGATAAAAAACACACCTGATTTTATCTATGGATGGATGGATGGATGGATAGATAAAGAAATAGAAATGCTAGAGCAATTAAATTCCAAAGACGTTACGTGGCTTTATAGATAGAGCTAGATAGCCATCTATCTATCTATCTACCTATCTGCCTACCTATCTATTTGTGTACGTGTGCATCGTGTTTCTTCAATAGTGGTATGAATAATTATGATTAATGGATTAACAGTTTTAATGTGCTTTTAGTGTGAAGTTACAGTCATATAATATTTTTACCACCAGGCAGTCAGAAACATTTCATGAATCACATTTTAAATTTAAAGAGAATTTATATTTAAAACAGCCGTATTTATTAGCCCTGGATAGGACATTAAACAGAAACAGAAATATTTGTCTTTAACCTAGGATGATTTCTAACTAAAAATGTAAAAAATGTGACCCAGGGATATACAGTTATTTTTCAGGTGCTGATATCCACTGCCAACAGGTAAGCCATTAGAAGTGTTTAGGAAATGATTGGGAGCACTTCATAAATGTTTTGTAAAAGCGTTGTGACTGATTGTAAACTTTTGTGAGAATGGATGTCCAGTTAATTCAGGGAATCTACTCATCACGTCATTGACTCATTTTCAAAATTTTAAAAATGCTTTCATCTTTAAAACAAACCCTTTTGAGTGCCTGTTATTTTCTTAATGCACATCAGGTGCATAGGATTGGATTGATTCGAATCGTAGCTTGTGCCACAAATGGCTTCTCATTTTACTAATTGTTCCACAGGGATGCAGAGAGGGGGCTTTATATTATTTTTAAATAACTGTAAAGGGTACAGTATTATTATGATTCATTTCTTGCCTGTGACATTATACTCTGAAGCAGTGGAGGATTCGATTGAATAAATTATTGATTCTTTTCACTCCTAGAACATCACAGCATAGTGATGGATTCCGGGCTCATGCTTCTAGGTGTGTAGAGTGTGGGCGAGTTACTTAATACCGCTGTGCTTCAGTGAGGTGTTGGGAGGGATAAATGAGTTAATCTGTCTAAGGCATTTAGAACAGTGCCTGACACACAGCCTATGCTCAATAAATTTTCACATTAAATGATTATTATTGAAATTTTCTATATGTTATATAATAAGCATGCATTCTTATTGTAACAGGAAAACCACTATGAAATTTTAATGTTTCTGAAACATCTAAAAAAGCTTATAACTTACAAAGTCCTGTCAAGCAGTGCTTAAAGAAGTAAGAGAAGATAATCAGGCAATTGTCATTGCATCTTTTATACACGAAATGGATTTCAGTGTTAACTTAGTCAACAAATTAATTCTCCTAGATCTCAATCCCATTTTCGTTTCTTATTAGAAACTTAAAAAAAGGTCAGAATTCCATGTTAGGATAGGTCAAGTACGAGAAGGGTGGTATGTCCAGTTTTGCAGTACATGATTACAATTATAATTAGGTTTTTTTTTTAAGTTTTTACTAAGCATAGAAAAGAAAGTCCAGATGGATGATGGGATTGTCATGCCTCTCTCCTTGTTTTCTCCATGAGCATGTGTATATAATAAAAAAAAAAAATCCACTTCTATAACACTCAGTAAAACCAGGTTTATTAGCTTCATATAGCAGGATTTTGTTTCTGTTTTAGGGAAAAAACACCTTGCACAGCAGTTGAAGGTCTTTAAGTTAAATGTGAGAATTAGCCAGCCGTAAACGAGAGAATCTTTCAGAAGTTTGTAGGTTTATCTTCTGAAAAGATGTTCGAAGTTTGGATCTGCACACAGAGCCTGTCCAGAGCTGTCACGTCCGTCCCAGTCCTGTACTGAGGAGCTGTGCGCAGACAGCACCTGCACGTGTCCGCGGTCTCCAGGACTGCTGCAAGGAAGACACACGTGCGCATGGTTTCATGGGAAAGTTTCATGGGTAAAAAATCCAGCACAATTGTGCGATTCCATTTATGGAGCTGCCCTGCCCCCTCTGGGACCCATCTGAGCCCTTTCACCTATGATCTTGCACAGTCCTCGCAGCAGCCCAGGTGAGGAAGTGAGGCTCCCTTGGGGGGCAAGACCAGAGTGGGACCCAGAGGTGTCCTGCCGCCACATCCCATGACACACCAAGCACTCTGCTGAGCACTGCAGTGGGGATGCGTCCAGCTCCACGTGGGGCGAGGAGGACTTGATGGAGGAAGTTTCGTTTAGAAGCTATCAGTCAGACCAAGAGAAACAGGAGGGGGTTCCTTTTAGGGGTGAGGTGACCCACCTGAGGAGAATTATCAGTGTCTTGCCATTGGGCTCACCCCTCTTCAGCCACCGAAGTCCAAGTGTCCAGAATTGCCTGAGAGCCAACAGGCCTGAAGGGATGTGTGCAGTGGGCCTCTCCCATCCCTGGACTCCCA